CTTCGGGCACCCCCCTTCCCGCGCCCCTCCCCCCTCCCCCCTCCCCGATGTCATCATCCATCACAATGTTTCACTGTAGACATCGTCCGATGCCAATTTGGTAGACATCGCCCAACCCTAATAACTAGTAAAGCTGAAGAGATGATCGGTTCACATGCTGCTTCAACTGAGGCGCTACAGTGATCTGTCACAACACAAGAGCCACAAAATGGTATTTATTGTTTGAATTTCTTACAAAATGACAATTTCAAAGCTGAGACTTTGTTTCATACCAAAAGTAACCTGCCCTGTCTTACCTGTTGGTGCATTGTCAGTGTCCTCTTTGCTCCGCGATGTATTTTTTCACTGCGTGAGAACATGATGTATGGTGTGAGAGCACCATGGCTTATGGGGCGTATCAGTAGTAATGAAGGGGGGCAGGTCTCTGTGAAGGGTCAATTGTTGTTATGTATTCCGATTTTATCATTAGCTACTATACTTATTTCTTAGTTACCAGTTTCTATCCCACTAGTTGTTACTATAACTTTAGTATCTATCCCAGTTTTTGTAATAACATTTTTTTGCCTCGCTATTAAGTTTAGTCGTATATACTAGTAGAAATACTACTTCATAGTTCAATTAAAAAGTTTACTAGAAATTAAAATTTTAATAGATATTTTTATTCAGTACTAGGAAAAACTAGTTGCTATAAGTACTAGAAAAAATAGTTAACTGATGAGATACTAGTCACTATTGTATTACTACTACTATCTAAGCAAAATATGTGTTAGTAACAAAATATATACGTTTTTTAGTTTTAATTTTACATGTTGAATCGGCTTGCCATAGAGCGTGAGCTTGCCTCGCTGTCTTGGTACTTGCCAATCATCCTGAACGAGTGTCGAAATGGCCACGCCCAGATCGTGGTTTAGCTTTTGGGTAGTCAGTGTTCACTGTGTACCAACGAAAACAACGCAAGAATCTCTACGAAGAATGCGAATGTATTCTTCTTTGTATTTGTACGCGGTATGTTTGTCTGGTGTGTGTTTAATGTTACGCTGCAAGCAAGGATTAAAATGAACTTTTTCACTCACCAGCCAATTTGGCTACAAAAGTTTTAAGTAAATTTCTCAATATGTCTCAATATTTTCTGAGATTTTATCGATAAAGATAATTAGACGATAATTTGCAGAGTGTGTTATTGTGCTGATATCTTAAGGACTACCGTGCACAGCTGACTCCTAAAGTTTTTGATATATTTCATATTTTGTGTGGTCAGTTCACAGCAGTGATAGAAATTAAGCTTTTCCAATAAGTTTAAATTGATGTTTACCTTTTATGGACATTTTTACCTTTATAAAGCAATTTTTTTTCTAAAAGTGTGCATCATCTTTTAAGTCAAATTCTTACATTTAATCAGTCAATTATAATAATAATACATTTAGGCTGTTACTAAACAAATGAAATCAGTATCAATAAAATTCATCTTTGCAGAAGTTGCATATGAAGTGGCATTTAGATGTATTTACACATGTTAATGCAGCTTAGAGGGACATGGAATGCTTTAGCCTGCAGTTACAAATGCATAAGTAATGTTTTGATATTTTAAACATGAAATGTTGAATACTGATATTTAAAATTATTTAAAGGGGTCATATGATGCAATTTCAAATTTTCCTTTCTCTTTGGAGTGTTACAAGCTGTTCATGCATAGATAAGATCCCTAAAGTCGCAAAGACTAAAGTCTCAATGTTACGGAATGAACAAATGATAAGCTCTAAACCTAACTAAAAGGAAAAACGTTTCGTTATTACTGTTAGTATGCAAGTCAGACGCTTTTGAAACTGAAACTTCATATCTGGAAAGCTGTAAAGTATTTAAACATACTTATTTAAATAATATTTAATTTAAATAATACAACGTCTTATAGTATTCAAACACTTAGTAGGCCTATCATTGCTTTAAATATTAACAATATAAAGACTTTTTAATGGCCCTTGTACTATTTTAAAATTCAAAATTGTGAAGCAGCTTGTTTTTACGGTGCTGTGTAATAGTATTGTGGCTCGTGCATGCTGACTTCTTTATGAATGAGCGCTTGCATGGCAACAGACTGTGATTGGCTGATTTGTAGGGATACCCCAGAGCTGTGGAGAGAGAGAGTTGTGACAACTCCGTTCACTCCAATGGACCAGTTTTTTTACAGCAATGGCGGATCGTGGAGCCGCTCAATAGTTCCCGGAAGTTAGCGCTCATACTATCAGCGGCATAGAGATGCAGCAGAAGAGACCGCTGTGACGAACTTTTAAAAGGTATGACATTTATAGAACAAAATAGTATATTATCAGCACAGCTAATCAAATTACCCCGTGCATTAAAACACATTACTATTAGATTATTCCT